TAATAATCCGAGCAGTTCCAATAGGGTCTTCGCACCCTTTGGTGCTCGGACCCTAATAAATAATAATAATAATAATCACAACGGTTACAATAGGGTCCTTGCACTGGTGTGCTCCGACCCTAATAATAATCACAACGGTTACAATAGGGTCCTTGCACTGGTGTGCTCGGACCCTAATAAATATTAACTTTACAGAACAATATCCACTTTAGTATAATTCAGTAAGATCTAATTGGAACATAAGACCTGATGGAGGTGTTTTTGAAATATTGAAATATATGTTATTAAAATATTGAAATAACATCTGACTCACAGTTTCTGTTTATTTATTACAGTTTAGAGGCTCTCACAGAAATTCATTTAGTTTTTTTTATCTATTGTAAAATTAAGCCTAATGTTTAAGGAGTTAATTGTTAGAGCATGACATGACCACATTACTAGAACCAGAAATGTTTGTCCATATATAAATCCACTACGTCGTCTTTATTATGTGTTTGCTTTTAGCCGTCTTGTACTTTTTATTCTTGTCTGTCGTTGCGTCAGCAGAGCAGGTGGGACTGAATTAGCAGCGTTACGACAGCGACTCCATCATCTTACGTCACTAACGCGGGTGGAGACGTTTGCATCATTTCTGACTGACAAATGGAGATTCACCCTTTTTGCACAACAAAGTCACCCGCTGGTCACCGGAAGAAAGAAAAAACAGTCTGTGAACCGAGAAGGGAAACCCTGGGGAGGACATTTCATTCCTTCTGTTTGGCAGCAGCTTGTGTAACTCGGTCCGTCACGTCGAGTCATTTCAGAGGAAACTTCCATCGTGTGACAACGAGGACTCAGAGTACTGAAGACTGAAGTACACGGTGTACAAGTACTGTGGTACAAGTCGGCCTCTCAGGGAGGTACTCCAGTACAACAAGTCCTCATGATGCAAGGAGGCCCATTAAAGCACAAACACAGCTGGATTATAAAGACAGAGCACATGTTCTGTAATTAAAATCCAATATTTATCATTAACTGTGTTCATGTGTTTGTCTTTTTAACAGTGGAGCTGGTTTAATAGTTTAAAATGCTTCATCATTTATTTGTTTTGCATTAAAAATTGAACATGCAAATTCATTTAAGACGTCAAAAACGTGCAGTTGAATTAAAGAAAAGAATATTTGTCCCTGATTGTAGCAGAAGAAGAAAAGTGGCAGAAAAAGAGCTGCAGTCCACCAACAACCGTCTCTCCTCTGACATCACTTCCTGTTGTCTTGACTCACACGATGCAGGTTTATTTATATTTATGACTTTTGTTGTTGTTGTTGTTTCACACCAACAATAATAAACATCTTCTCTACTCGATTCTACTATTTAAAGCCGAGCGGTGCGTGTAGTGATGAGGAGGCGTGACGTGACCTAATTCTGTGCTTTTACTTTCACACCGTGCGACCAGTTTATGGTTTTACTGGGAAGCGCTGGTCCCAGCCCGCATTCATCAGCTGACTGACAGTAAACACACTCGGCCACTTCCCAGCAACACAAACGACTTCTGCTTTTGGTTAAAAAAAAAACTCCAGAGTCACACCCAGAAGAGTCACGCTGGAGCTCTGTGAACCTGAACCCGGTGTGTCCAGAGCCTGAGGTGGTTCTCGATGGTTTTCCTGGAAACAGGAAGCTTCAGGGGAAGTGATTGGACGTTAAGACAAGCAGGAGGAAGCAGCATGAGGCCACTCAGGAACTGTTTAAACCTCTGAACAGCATTTTAGAATATTTTTTAACATCTTTTTTCTACAATTTGAAAGCCAGCTGGGATTTTATTCTTAAATCTAATGGTGCACTTCTTTTTTCTGCCTTTTTAGTTTTACTCAAACTCATCAACAGGAAACTCTTTAAGATCAACGTAACTATAAAACTGAACCTATAAACATATTTTGCTGACTGTTCTTTAACCCTGTGGTACTGATGATGCCTTTGCAGTGTTCATCACTAATGATTGATTATTTGATTTGATCGTTATGTGTCCGAGCGTCGTGTTGTTTGTGCAGCAGGTGAACCAGAACTCAGCAGCATCCAGGAAACAGTCCGGTTTAAACCCTGATCGTTCTCATGTTGGGCTGCTTCTGAAAATATTAAAGAAATGTTTGACAGTCGTATTGTTTTAGTGACGGCTTTCCAAGAAAAAAAAAAGCAGGTTAAAGGCTGCAAAACCAACTTAAAGTTTTACCTTTAAGAAGCTTTTTCTGTCCGTCTTCGGAGCCCAAACCTTCAGACAGCTGAGCACAGGCGACGCGATCGAGACCACATTTAGACCGCCGCCTTTTTTTAAACATCAGGCTTTTTTTTATTTTCACTTTGACCTATTTTGTTTTACACATACAAACTATTTTAGGCCGCATATCATTTAGAAAATCCCCTCCAGGGTTAAAAAAAATCATAGAAACTTCCTTTATTTGCACATTTTGTGAATTCACAACTTCTCATGTTTCCTGTTTTGTTGATTCATTCATGATGAAGAAGTTCAGATGAAGGAGGTACAGCTTACGTGAATACAGATCATATGTCAGGTTTATTATCATGTTGAGTTTATTTCTAAAATGATTCTAAAGCGCTTGTTTGGATGCAGATTTTTTTTTAGTTTTTAACACGATTTGAAACATCTCGGCACAAACCAGATGTCGTTCTGATCCATCCAGACGGAGCAGATCTGAAGTTTCTGTTTTCAAACATCCGTCCAGACCTTCTGCGGAGTTAAACGTGTGTTTTACCCACAGACGAAGTGAAATATGATATTAAATTAATCTAGTTTGTCGTTCTGCTTCGGTGACGGCTGATTCCAAGCAAAAGTGCAAACATTTATATATTTTTTACTCTTCTAACGTTCAGACGTTCAGATATTAATGTCGCCTCCCGTTAAAGAAAAGGAAAGAACAGAAAGTCTGATGACAAAACCCTGTTTTCCATTTTTACATTTGGGCAAAATTTAGACTTAAGTTGGAAAAACTTAAAGTCAACTTTACCTGAAAGCAGGAAAGCTGCAGCTCTGTGCACCTAAAAGGAATCAAATGATTAAAGTACGTCTGACGTAATCCAGTTAAAATAATAATAGTGAACCTAATGTGGATTCATCTGTGTGTTATACACTCACGGCCACTTTATTAGCTACACCATGCTGGTGCCGGGTTGGACCCCCTTTTGCCTCCAGAACTGCCTTCATCCTTCGTGGCACAGATTCAACAAGGTCCTGGAAACATTCCTCAGAGACTTTGCTCCACATTGACATGATAGCAACACACAGCTGCTGCAGATTTGTCGGCTGTACATCCATGATGCCAATCTCCCGTTCCACCACATCCCAAAAGGTGCTCTACTGGATGGAGATCCGGTGACTGTGGAGGCCATTGGAGTCCAGTGAACTCATTGTCATGTTCAAGAAACCAGTCTGAGATGATTCACGCTTTATGACATCCTGCTGGAAGTATCCATCAGAAGATGGGTCCACTGTGGTCATGAAGGGATGGACGTGGTCAGCAACAACACTCAGGCAGGCTGTGGCGCTGACACGATGCTCAGTTGGTACTAAGGGGCCCAAAGTGTGCCAAGAAAACACCCCCCACACCATTACACCACCACCAGCAGCCTGAACCGTTGATACAAGGCAGGATGGATCCATGCTTTCATGTTGTTGATGCCAAATCCTGACCCGACCATCCGAATGTCGCAGCAGAAATCAGACTCATCAGACCAGGCGACATTTTTCCAATCTTCTATTGTCCAGTTTTGGTGAGCCTCAGTTTCCTGTTCTTAGCTGACAGGAGAGGCACCCTGGGTGGTCTTCTGCTGCTGTAGCCCATCCACCTCAAGGTTCCACGTGTTCAGAGATGCTGTTCTGCATACCTCGGCTGTAACGAGCGGTTATTTGAGTTACTGTTGCCTTTCTATCAGCTCAAGCCATTCTCCTCTGACCTCTGGCATCAACAAGGCCCACAGCGCCCACAGAACTGCTGCTCACTGGATGTTTTCTCTGTTTCGGACCGTTCTCTGTAAACCCTAGAGATGGTTGAGCGTGAAGATCCCAGTAGATCAGCAGCTTCTGAAATACTCAGACCAGCCACGCTCAGAGTCACGTAAATCACCTTTCTTCCTCATTCTGATGCTCAGGTTGAACTGCAGCAGATCGCCTGGACCACGTCCACATGCCTAAATGCATTGAGCTGCTGCCATGTGATTGGCTGATTAGAAATTTAACGAGCAGTTGGACAGGTGTACCTAATAAAGTGGCCGGTGAGTGTAATAATAGCTGTTGGTTTTATCTTTCAGTGTTTTACGAATTAACTCATATATGAAAATGCAGAAAATGTTTCTGAATACCAACAAGACATCCTATAGAAGAGCAGCCTTCTGTCATCTCATTGGTTCTGTGGACGTTAACCTGCAGATACTAAATAATCCTGAGCACAGCAAAGGCTTCGGTACGCCGGGGAAGTGCTGAAGTCAACTTGTAAACATGCAAATCTCCCACAGTTTAAGTGTCCACATGGCTGTAAATAAAGTTCTCAGTTTGAGTGACATGAAACGTTTGCATGTGGAGGAAAATCACACAAAACATCCTCATTAGTGCCTTAAAACAATAAAACGAACTCCTGAGTGTGGACGCAGCCGAGTCAGAAACAGTCCAGCGGGTCAAACAAAGGAACACCTCAACATTTATTTATCGTATAATTCTGTGCAATAATACAACGTACAAATAATCATTCTGTAAATATTACAATCCATATAATATAGCTCAGGTCCGTAGCCACGAAATAAGACATTAAATACATTCAAGGTCTGTGAAGGCGCCAGAGTGAAGGAGAGAAGCAGCAGGTGAAGCCAGGACAAGAAAAATAAATCAGCTTATCAATAAATCAATCATCAATCAGCTTCAGCTCATCTGAAGGATTTGGTCCAACATCGTGTCTTTCTCCTCTGATTGATGTAGAATTTACTCACTGGATTGTCTCGGTCAGTAAACAAGAGCATCGATTCTGATTAATCAAACGTTAAATGATTTTTTTTTTTACGTCACTCAGCGCTGAGTGAACACTTTTAAAAACCGTTTTGCTCTAAATATCGGCTGTACAATAAAAATCTTCTTAAATTAACATCACAAAACCTCCACCGAGTGTCTGCGCAGCTCGTCTGATCAAAGAAAGAAAGAAAAAGAAAAAACGCTGTGCAAAAGTCTCAGACAACAGAAACGGTACGGAGGCAGTTGCCATGGAAACGCACAGGTTTCTGTATGATAACAGCACGCTGCCTCGATCGGCCCCGTCACTGACGGGAAGGATGGACGACGTCTCCAGAGCAACACTGAAAACACACACGCGCACACACATGCACACACACACGCACACACACACACACACACACACACACACACACACACACGCTGCTGTCCTGTGAAAACCTCGTATCTCCTTTGACATCATTTAAACAATTAAATGCGTTTTCGTCACAAAACGAGGCGGAAATAATTCGCCAGACAGCAGAATGTGAACAACATCATCATCATCATCATCATCATCATCATCATCATCATCATCATCATCATCATGCCTCCTCACACAACAACAACACAACTCATTTAGAAATGTACTTCAGTCCTCCTCCGTCGGGTCTCAGTGACCCCACAACTGGCCAATCAGAGCTTATCATCTAAAATAGCACCTGGCAGGTGCTGATGCTGGTAAAAGTGCCGTCCAGGAGTCCGTCGCTTCCTGCTTCGTGTCCAGCTGTCAAAATCTCAACGCCAAACAACCGCACACCCCCACGTGCTGCTAACGTAGTCTCATGTCAAGCCTCCGTCCGTCCATCAAGTGTCCTTGTCGTCCGAAAGCGAGACGCGAAGCTGCCGGACGTCGCCGCCGCTGCCGCCGCCCCGGTCTCTGGACTGGACCTCCTCGTAGGGGGGCGGCGGGTTGTCGGGGCTCTGGCCGGACAGGAGGGGCCGCTGGCTGCCGTCCGACGGAGGCGAAGGGTGGCAGCCGGACGCCTCCTGAGCCAGCAGCAGCTGAGTGGGTCCCGGAGCCGAGCAGGACGGGAGTCGCTGCCCCCAGCTGCCGTAAACCGCCTCCTCGTAGGAGGGCAGGGACACCGGGAGGCCGTCCACCATCAGGTCCAGCTGGTCCGAGGAGCGGCGGCTGCAGGGGGGAGGAAGAGGGCGTTACTTAAGGAGGAAGTACAGATGAGATGTATGCGGCCACCTCTTAAATATACACAAACCTTAAACCAGTTTGTAATCGTCTCTGTGGGCATTATTTTGCCAACAAACATCATCATGAGCACATAAATACCCCCTAAAGGTCCCACTGTGCCTCTGCTCAGCTCAAAACGCTGCAAGGTGATTTAATTTGAAAACCTTTTGCTAGAAAGAACAACTTGTACACTGAGAGATAATAAGAATTAATTAAAGTTTGGAGATCTGGATTTAACAGAAAGTCACATCGAAGAATAACATATAAATCACTGTTAGTTTATCATTCATACCAGTGATCCTGTAAGTAATTCTATTAAATCTGCTATAAATCTATATTCTGATACAGACACAACATGTTTAATAGTTTATTTTATGGAGGCACGTTTTCTTGTTTTTATTTTTGTTGTTGTGGTACAACTTCTCATTTCTGCTCAATCAGTCATAAAAGGTCAACAAATATAGATTTTTTCATTTTTGTGACCCAGTATTTCACATTAAAACTTCTCTCTGTGTTTAGTTTTGTGTTGTTGTGACTTTTCCCTACATGTGGCTCAGAACACATCACTAGCTGACGTCTGCATTATTATTATCTGACCTTTTTTTTTCCATTATTGCAGATTCTGAATCAAACAATGAGAAATAATAGTAAAAAAATCTGTTTTTTATCTGTAATAGTTCCTGAGATGTTGGACGTGGGTTTAAAAATCTAATGACCTCAGAAAGTGTTTCATACATGAAGCTAAAACCTCACAAACATCTTTATAAATATTAATTTTTTATGATAACACAATAAGAATGTATTTTCCCCCATACGAGACCTTTAAATAAATATCAAATATAACAGCAGGTGTAGTTTGATTGAATTTCCCTTCTGGGATGAATAAAGTATTTTTCATTTCATTCATTTCATTCATTACCTGTGTGACTGACAGGGGTAGAGGCGGGACTTGACCACCAGGCAGGCGGTGGTGGTCAGCAGGAAGATGGACACGCCCACCGCCGTGGTGGCCATGCTGGGGATCGAGTCATTCGCTCGCTCATCCGACTTCATGTTGGGACCCTCTGAGGAGGAGAAACAAAAAAAAACGCAAAAAACTTAACCTTCAGCTTCACATATGGGACAATTTGCTGCTTTTTTTCAGTTTTTATACGAGTCCAGAGCGAATATTTAAAAAGCCAAATTTGACTCCAGGAACTTTTGTCGCTGAGCAATTTTGACAGTTTTGACATTTACAGAAGCAGATACGAGGTTGAATGACCTCCTTATTTAGCAGTTATTCCTCACTTCCTCTATTTGACTTCCTCTATCCTCGATTTTGCAGGATTTACAAAAACTAACGATTAAGCCGTTCATGAAGTGACGCTCTGAGTCGACTGAGCAGCATCGGGTCGCTCTGTCTTCTGCAGACTTTAAAAGGTTTAAGAATTAATTCCACTTCTGCACGTTTGGGAGACGTTTGTGTTGTTTTACAGGGTTTTTTGCACATTTTGAACACGTTACAACTCATTTCAGACTCGTTTTGAGTGGTTTGGGGCAATTTTTACTCATTTTAAACTGGTTTTAAGTCAAAATATCTCAAAACTGGAACCTTGTGTTGCCACACATCAGACTCTACTGATGTTAGAGGCCTTAAAAGTTGGTGAAATGCAGACCAAAGACTGGATTTTTAGTAGGAAAAGTGGATACATCCATATATATACACTTTCTGGGGCCACAATGCCACCAAAGTTTGAACCTTTTGCACTTTTATTTACTTTCATGGTAGATTTGGGACAATTTCAGCTCATTTTGAACATGTTTCTAGTCATTCTGAATGGATTTTGAGTTATTTTGGACACATTTTGAGTTGTTTTGGGCAGCTCTTAATCATGTTGGATAGATTTCAAACCACAATATCTAAAAACTGGAACCTTGTCTTGCAACATATCAAGCTATACTAATGTTAGAGGCCTTAAAAGTTGGCGAAATGTCAACCAAAGACTGTATTTTAGTAGAAAATGTGGATACATCAAGATCTATGCACTTGTAGGAACTTTCTGGGGCCACAATACCACCAAAGTTTGAACATTTTGCACTTTTATTCACTTTCAAGGTACATTTGGGACAATTTCAGCTAATTTTGAACATGTTTGTAGTCATTCTGAATGGATTTTGAGTTATTTTGGACAGATTTTGAGTTATTTTGAGCAGTTCTTACTCATGTTCAAACCACAATATCTAAAAACTGAAGCCTAGTCTGGCAACACAACAAACTCTAGTGATGTTAGAGGTCTTAAAAGTTGGTGAAATGTCGACCAAAGACTGTATTTTTAGTAGGAAATGTGCATGCATCCTTATATACACACTTTGCGACCAAAGCTTGAACACCGTCCTGGTTTCTGGCGCCCTGAGGCTTTGGCTTTCCACCAACACTGACATCTTTGGATTAAAAGTGAACAAAAAGTGAACGGGAGCAGCCCAGCTACAACCATCAACATCACGGCTCAGCTCCGTCAACAAACTGCATCAATATGAGTCCAGATGTGAGATTTTATCTTCCTTCGTGTCAGCGTGGGGGGTTCAGGGAAACATCTAACCAACATGGCCGCCACAACATCCTGCAGAAACCCACCGGATCCACCCATTATGTGCTTCTCAGCAGATCAATGACGCCGAACACACCTGCATGACGCCGTGAGAACCGTTCGGCGAGTAAGCTGCGAAAAGTGTTTACATGTAGCTTGACGTCATTTATTAAAGCTGCGTGGAAAGCTGGCGCGGACGGCTCGAACAGAAAGGCATTATCAAATACAACATCTGTGAGGGTTTGTGGCTGCCAAGCTTTCCGTGAGGCACTGACACAGGAAATGTCTAATGGTTATAATGGTGGCTTCGCCCGCTTCCTCTTTCTGCGCTCCGACTTCCTGAAGCAGCGTTTCGGGTGAATGGCGACAGAGGAAGTCGGAACTGGTCCGAGGAAAGTAGAGCAGCAGAGAGCGTCGACGGAGATTCGTTAAGTAGGTCAGGAGGCAAACGAGACGACGCTCGGGGAGGAGAAACGACGGACCATCACGAAGGTCGACAAAGTGCAAAATAAAACGCTGGTCCAGATGTGAGATGTTGGGCTCCAGATGTGGAGCTCCAAACCAACAAACGGATGGATCTGAGTAGAGTGATGGAATAAAACAGCCAACAGGTGATGAGCATGTGTAGGAAAAGAGTTCCTGGAGAACCAGAGCAGAGTGAACAGAAGTGTGCATGTTCATCATGGCGGCCCTGATGTTCCAGTGACTCCTAGAACTCTGGATTTTCTAAGACGGATCAATGAAACACATGAATGTTTGTCACAAAAAAAAACAATCATGCATTCTGGTTCTTTCTTGGACGTATCGCAGGTCTCCTGGAAACACGACTTTCTGCCCAAAATCCGTGCAAAGTGACTCAAATTATCTCTGAAATGAGCTGAAACGTGTTCAAAAGGAGCAAAAATCGTCCCAAACCACAGCAACGAGGAACGATTCTGTCGAGTTCAATGTCTTTTTAATCTCATTTTCGCTTCATGCAGGCAGTTTTGGTTCTGTATTTGACTCTACTCTTGACAGGATGCAACGAAACTGATCGGTTTCTTCATCACAGTCTACAGGTTCTCGACGAGTTTAAGTCTGGATTTTGAAGACACCAGTTTAAAACCCTTCATTCTAGCCTGATTTAACCATTTCTTTACCGTCCTGTTGATCTCGCTTCGAAGGCGACACCAGCTGAGAACTTTCCTCGATAATTTACGAAAGAACCAAAATGCTGGATTGTTTTTTGTGACAAACATCCACCTTTCAATGATTTTAAAAGAGAAAAATTCAGGAGACAAATGTTTGCTCCACGACTGCAGACGTGGATTTGCAAAATAACAAAACCTAAATACGTGACTGTGGGAAACGTCGGTGATTCTCGTTAATTCGGGCGGAGCAGATAAAGCTGCCGCTGATAACAGGAAGATTCGGGCCTCAGATGCAAGATGCTGCAACGATTATCGGCGCGTTATCAGCGGTGAGAAGTCGCCGCCCTGAAACAGGCTCAGAACGAGGTCAAGTCTTGTTCCTGTTTTTACCGATTAAAGTTAATGTTTAGATGAGGCAGAGAGCAGCAGAAACACGGTTCAAAATCCACCAGATGCTTAAAAATAACATCCAAAATATTTCTTTTTTTATGCAGGCTGGAAGCTTTAGGACACATCTAAAGGTAAAGACACTCATCTGGTTCCTGAAAACTTTAAACAAGAAGATGACTGAGTGGATGCGTCACCGGTTCATTATAAACCGAGGATCACTGCTGCTGCTGGGAAAATGTTTCCCAAGAACTCCTGCTGACGGGTAAAGAAAGGAATTTTAAAGTCACGTGACGTTCAAACTGAGAACCTCCAGAGAGAATCCGGACTGAAGTCGACCCGGAGAGGACTGAAGGATGAAATAAACATGCAGAGAATCCACATTTTAGCTCCGATGTACGACTGAAGAGCTTAAATCACGACGTTCTCTTGATCTATTGTGTCTAAGACGCTCATATTTACGTTTACATCCTTTTAAAAATCAGAAATGTGAATATTATTCAAAGACCTGCGGTGGAAGCTGATAAAGAATCCAACCTGCAGCGGCGTTACGTTCATTTCTGCACGCGCCGGACTCCTTATCAGCATCTAGTGGCGTCGTAAAACGATCGAACTGACCTCCGAGCTTCTTCTCATTATCCTATAAAAACACCAAACACCTCGAATGGAAGCGCTTCCACAGCCTCCCTCACACCAACGCCGAGCCGCTCGAGTGTTCACACCTTTATTTGTGTCCGCCGGCCAGCTCTCGGCTTATTTTAGAGCCTTTATTATCGAGGAAACTGGTCGTTTTATTCATTTTTGTCGTAATAAATGATGAGTTTTTAACCAAAAAAGCACCAGAGGAGAGACGCTTTGGCCGACAAACGGTCAAAATACTCAAATAATCTGAGAAAAGCAGCAAATCCTCACGTTTTAAGGGTGAAACAGGAAATAATTTGCCATTTTATGAGAAATAAATGAGCGGTTGTTTGATTTTAGTGTCTGATTAATCAACACACAAACACATGAGACTTGGAGCTCCGTCTGACCTTTGATGGGGATGCAGGTGGGTATCGGAGGATGCCACCGGCCGTGGCGACACCTGGAGACGGGGATCTTGGCGCTGACGTGGTACCCGGGTTCGCAGAAGAACCGGATCGAGCTCTTGTGAGGGAATCCTCGGCACGGAGACGGATCGCAGCGGAAGCCTCCATGTTCAGGCACCAGAGGGTGAGAGCAGTTGTTCAGTCGACCTGCACGCAAACAGAAATTCAAACAGGTTTAAAAGCTGATTTAAATTCAAGGTCATCAGGAGCCAGACAGGAAAAAAAAAATATAACTGGTGTTTGTTTGTACAGATTTGTTAAATAACAGATAATATTTAGTAAAATCACAGAAAATAAATATTAAATTATATGTTGACTGTAAAAACAGGCAGAAATTGTGAAAAAAAAAAAAAAAATGTACAAGTGAAATTCCACAATTTTTACTGTATTTAAATGTTTAAAAAAAATACTATTAACATACATATTTGCTAATATTTGAAAGAAAAAAATATTAAAAATGGTTTAAAAAAATTTAATTAATTAAAATAAATACATTTTATTGTTATTTTACAGATTTTCCCTGTTTTGATAAATTACAGAAAATCACAGAAAAATATTGATTTGCATGTTCACTGTAAAAACCGGCCAAAGCTGTAAATACTTGTAAAAAAAAAAGAAAAGAAAAGAAATAGTAAATTTTTTTACAAGGTGAAATTACACTTTTTTTTACTGTATTTAAATATGTAAAAAGATTATTATTTTATAGATATTTGCTCATATTTGAAAGAAAAAAATATTTATACACAAATATTTTTTAACTGTTATTTTACAGATTTTCCATTTTTTTGATAAACTACAGAAAACATTTAGTAAAACATCTGGAAATAATGTTCACATCAATAATTTCTAATTTTATAAGCAGTAATTTATTCTTATTTGACTGTAAAAATGTTTTGTTATTTGAAAGAAAAATATTAATATTAATAAATGAAAAAGGGTCCATACATTTTTTTAAAACTTTAATTTGATAGATTTTCCCTGTTTTGTTAAATTACAAGTAAAGTCTGAGAAAAAACCTGACCGTGAAAGTTTTGTTTTTTAAACAAATAATCATTTGTTCTTTTACAGTGTTTGACCATTAAACCATATTTTTATTTACTTAAATCAGCTAAAAATCTGCTTATTTTTGCAGATATTTTCAGTTATTTTTACAGTTTTTAAAATTACAATATTCCACCATTTTTTAATGTTTTTTTTCTGCCACATTTTCACTGTTTTTAATCTAATTTTTAACAGTGCACTGTTACTGTTTCTGCTCGACTCTGAATCAGAACAACATTTCCCATCAGCCCTTGCTCCCCGTTTCGGGGTTAAACACCAGGATCAACATTCTGCAGGTGATTTTCTCTCTGAACTCGGTGAAGCTTTGGTTTTGCAGGTTTCTGCATCTGCGGCGATCATCCTGTAACCGACGCGGTAATCATTGATGGATCCAAACCGATGTTCTGGCAGAATAAATGGGTCACACGTTCCCAAGTCCTGCAGCAGCTCCGAGGCCTTTTAGTGATAAAAGTGAAGCCGTGTGTGACAAAGGTGAGCGAAAGCCTCCACAGAGCGTCGGGGTGTTTGTGCCACCTCTGCCAGCTTCCGCTGCTTCTTCATCTTCCACCTTAAAAGTCAGCGTCTGCAAAAATGTTCTGGTTTCCTCCTCCACCTCCTCCACCTCCACCTCCGCCTGCTCAACCCCAAACATCCACTCGTGCAAGAGTGGGTCAAGTGTGAAGCCGCGAGTGGAAAATCACCAGAATCTAGGGCCAGCGACGTGCCTGAAGTCGAGGCTTTTCAGGGATTTTCTGGCCGATCCTCTTAAACTCACAGAAACAGGTTTACGGGGCAGAAGTTAAAACACAGCTTCATGAAATTTTACAGACTGAGCGGCATGAAGGAGAAACAAAGCCGTGAAAGAAGGAAGCAGACGGCTGGAGTCAAACCGAAGCCACTAAAGTTCAGTCAGCGTTTCACAATCAGTCACGACAAGTGAACTGGGTTTCAGTGTTTACTATCAGACCAGAGCTCCGAGTCACCAACCTCCAGCAAAACGTTTCTCAATGAATTCCCTAAAAAAAAGAAGAAACGAGGGGTTTTCTGTTTCATAATTAGAAGAAAACAGGAACTGGAAAACCCTGAATGAAGCAGAGCGGAGCGGCTCTGGAGGAGACAGGGTGAGGCCGACGGCCAGGTGAGCGTTTACCTGCGGTGAGCAGCGGCGAGGCGGCCAGCAGCACGACTCCACAGAGCAGACCACAGAGTCCACCTGGACGCAGGACGGACGCAGACATCAGCCGGGTTCCTGCAGAAACACAGCAGAGCAGCAGTCAGGACATGAAGCCAACGATTCCATGTCATGTAAGAAAGTCTGGCAGCAAGAAGACAAACTGTCAGAATAGCTTCATTAGTTTGGATGTTTGATATATATATGTGTGTGTATAACATATATCATTATGTATATATATATATATATACACACATATATATATAACTATACATATACACATGTATTTATATAATGATATGTATCTCAGCACTGAGCTGCTTGAAGCTTTTTTTAAATTTTCGGCCTGACGTCACGTCTGTGGATGAAACGAGCTTTTCTGTTCATCAGTTTGTCTGTTTGCTTCGTTTTCTGACGTCACGGCTGTCAGACATCAGCTCATGAAGCTCATGAAGCTCCAGCTGCAGCATGAATCTGTGTTCTCATTAAAAAGGTGCAGCAGAGATGAACCAGAACCCGTCGGTCGGCGTCTTCATGCGTCTCCACCTGCAGTAAACAACCAACCGGGACTTTCCAGCAGGTCGACCTTTGACCACCTGGATGGAGGTTTAAAGTCACCGTCTGGCTTCTGACCACAGTTTGATTCACTAACGAGGTGAACATCAATTATCTGTGTCGGGTTTTTATCTTTCTTTCTTGCCAGAACCAACCAGCTGGGACTGGATCTGAAACCTTCCATCAGCCTCAGACAGAAACAGAACTCTGGACCTCTGAGACGTTCCATCATGTCAGTGAGAAGCTTCCACTGCT